ATATTTGGACTCACATTCTACCAATAGGTCAAATTTAAGAGACTTTTCAATTATGGGTGCTAAACCTTGACGACTTTCTAGTTTCAAGGGGTATTGTTTTTGTCTTACCGGTGTTGCTCCTGGCTTGACCATGATGCTTACGGGTTCTGTTCATTTGGACCTCCCAGGATATTCGCTAGCCCACACTAAAGGGATGACAACATTCTCAGCCTCTGCGGGGATCTCTCTGTGGTTCTCCTGTATGAAGAAGGCAGCTGCCTCGATATATTTAGTGCCAGGGATAATAACTTTTATTCCACGGCCCCCTTAAAGAATTTAATCTCAGTTTCCAATTTCTCTAATAAATCTCTACCCAATAAAGGCTTGGGGGAGTTTGGCATATAGAGGAATTGATGAGTGTCCCAGTTTAAATGAGACAAGAGTCTTTTGTTGAGGATGAGTTAGGAGAAAAGATCCAAACTTCTCTCTCTAAGCAATTATAAATCCAAAATTAAAAGGCTCTGATTGAAGGAAAAAGAACAAATTATGGAAAAGGAAAAATAACAGCCCTTTATTAAAAGGTATGTGTGTATTAAGAGAAACACACAAAAAAACCAACCAAACAATACTCCTATACTCACAAATGATCCCCTTCAAAAACAAACCGATAAACTGGCAAAAGGAAAAGTAAACAGTTCAATTTTTGCACCCTTTGGTGCAATTCCAACCACAGTCAGCAGGAGGCGCCTTCGGGTCACTGGAGATGCAGAACTTGTAATGTCCGGTGCCTGTCACCAGGTGGCCCTTTGAAATCCCTGGTTGCTGCCACGTGGAGGGGGGAGAAAGACAACACCCTCCAGGGTATGTCGGAGAAAAAAACAAAAAAAAACTCGGTTCCCCTTCCCTTCCCACACTGGGGAAAGGGGGGGGGGGGGAGGAGGGAAAGGAAGAAAAAAAAACCAGCAACAAAACAGAAAGTTCTCCCAATGGAAGAAAACTCATGATCTTCATCTGGTCAGAATTCGTTTCAGGCAGCTAGCAATGGCTCAGGGCAGAGAGAAACAGCAGCAAGTTTCTCCTCCGACGATGTGTGCTGCAGTCCCCAGCCCCAGCCCACAGCACACCAGTCTCTCCTCCCGACCTGAGTTCCAGCCCCAGTCCCCAAAAGCTCCTCCTTCCCCGTTGCCCAGGAGACGAGAGAAAAAAGTAAACATTAGCTCCTTCATCTGCCCTGTTTACTAGGAGAGTAATCTCTGGGCAATTAGTGGAGGAGCCGATTCTTTTGTTCACCTGATGGTCTATACACAGGGCCAGGGGGGAAGGGAAAGAAAAAATTCCTTGCTAAAAGCTGAACTATGACAATGAGTTACCCAGTGTTTCCCTAATTTAGATTTCAAAGGTTTGAAGAAAGGCCTGGTTTCACTTATCCCTGTGGCACCAACTACAGTTGCAGTATCATGACTCAGTTTCCCTTCCAAGGTGTTTAATACGGAGTATGCAGCACCTGTATCAACTAAAAATTCCACATCTCCTCCCCCTAGCTTAGCTACAACCAGAAGTTCTGCTGTGGTAGAATTCTCCGGTCCCCTTCATATATTCTGGTTTACAGTCAATTGGGAGATTGGAGGAGGGGGTGGAAATTCACTTCTCCTCTTCAAGTCTGGACAATCCCTTCTCCAGTGCCCTTTCTTTTTACAAAAAGAACATATGATCATTAGTCTTATCATGCTGGTAATTGGATCTATAATTTTCATGATGGACATTGTGTTTGTGATGTTTTTGGTAGTCACCGTCCTGCTCCAGTCCCTTTCCTCTGCCTTTTTGATCTCTATTTTGATAGACTGTCCAAGCTATATTTAATAACTCACCAATATTGTTGTCCTCGCCCGCCTTCTGCAGCTTTCTCCCTATATCATCTGCAGATTTGCCTATGAATAAATAGACCAAGTGCTTTTTCCCGTCTCTGATTCTACGTCTATGTCCGTGTATTTTCGTTTGGCCTCTTTTAGCCTGTTCAGAAAATCTGTAGGGGATTCATTTTTATCTTGTTTCACTTCATACATCTTTGACCAATTAATTGCCTTTGGAACTCCATGTTTAAGACCATAAACTACCCAACCCTGATAGCGTTTCGATGCTGCCCTTTTTTCTGGTATATTGGGGTCCCACTTGGCATCTTCTTAGGGGAACACATCTTTTAGTTCTCCTTGAATCTGCCCAGATGTTATGAACGTCTCAATTGTACTCCGGGGAGTTTGCTTGACCATGCCTATCTCAGTGGGATCTAATAATGTTTTTATTATTGCCTCCAAGTCATCCCAATCTGGATTTTGTGTCTTTATTGCTCTCTTCACATAGCTAGTCACTTTGTCTGGGTTATTCCTATATGCTCCAAATGAAGCTTTCCACTGCTGAAATTCAACCAGAGAAAAAGGGACTTTTATCAAAACTGGACCCTGGTTTCTCATGGCCTGCCTTAAGGGAGTTTCTATTGCAGGTTTTTCCTTTTGTGCCCTTGTTCTACTAGCCACGGGGCTGGGGTCTGACAGAGTTTCTTGTACTCTTCTTCCCCTTGTCTTTGGTCTTACTACAAGTGGTTTCTCTTCCCCCTCCCCTGAGCTATTGTTTGATTCATCCTCAGAGACTTCTGTGCCTGTATCGTGTAACATCACTATCCCCAGTCTTAACATTTGCGCTCGAGGAGTCAAAAGGGGGAAGACCCTGCCTTTGCCTCCTCTCAGCAGCGAGACTGACTTGCTTCTCTTAAATCTGCTCCTCCCCCGATGCTGTGCTTCTAAGCCCTGGTTCCCCCCTTCCCCACTAGGATCGGGCGGTGCTGACGGGGTGGGGGCGGGTTCATTCCTGCCCCTCATGGCGGAGCTGGAGGGTCCCGTGTCAACTGGGGTGGGAACCCCGGCTGCAGACACAGCCCCTGCTCCTCCCCCCGCAGTCCCGAGATCTGAGCCTCCGTCCCGTTGCCATGGCAACCGCGCCTCGCCTACACTGCCTGGAATGGCCCAGGCAGGTGCCACTGCCCCCCACCGTCACCAGTAGAGCCAGCGGCCCGGAACCGGCCCCAGAGCCCTGGAGGGCCTGCCGCCCTCTGGCCGTCACCAGCAGAGATGGCAGTTCCAGCCAGGGCCGGGGCCGCCACTCCCGTGTCGGTTGGAACAGCTGGTGCCGACCCCGCAGGTCCCGGAGCACTAACAGCAGTTCCCAGGACCCCCGCTCTGCCCAGAGCAGCCCCAGCTCGTCCCGCCACTGCCCCCGGGGCCCCCGAAGCAACCGGACCTGGCACAGCAGATCCAGCTGGCCCTGCCGAGCTGTCAGGACCCGCCCCAGGGGCTATCCCGGCTCCTAATGGATCTACGCCCCCCACACCTGCAGCTGAACCCAGGAGGGGTCCTGGGCTTGTTATTCTCATATCTGGGGGAATTAAAAGGTCCAAATCTTCATTTCCAGGGCTTTCAATATTGATTTGACTGATAGGATCACGCTTAACATGATTATTCTTTCCCTTTTTCTCCTCTAATGCCATTTCTGGGAGTTCTGATTTTATCTGAACTTTATCTCTTTTATATTCCTTTCTCAATTTTGGACGGTGTCCAAGTTTAAATGAGACACGGGTCTTTTGCTGAGGATGAGTTATGAGAAAAAAACCCAAACTCCTCTCTCTAAGCAATTATAAATCCGAAATTAGGAGGCTCCGATTGAAGGAAAACAAATTATGGAAAAGGAAAAAAATAACAACCCTTTATTAAAAGGTATTTGTGAATTGGCAGAAACACGGAAAAAAAACCCCAGTAAAACAATACTCCTGGTTGATCTGAGTCTGGGATCTTGTGGGCAAAGGTATGCTTCTTGATGGTACTGAAGCAAGGTTTTTAGGATCCCTGTCCCAGGATGTGGGCATTGATCAGGGGGTTGCAAGGAAATCAGAACCCCTCAGCCTCTGGATGTGACTCCTAACAAGTGTGAGGGATTGATAGACTTACAGGGAAAACCACCAGGTGCATCATGGCCCCAGAAAACCATGGAGCAAATAATCCAGTGCCTGAGAGAACTGGCATTGCTAGAGGTACTTTTTGTAGGGGACGGGCAATCCAATAATGACCCAAACAAGGTCAGGTGCATATCACAGATGTGGTTAAAACTTGCACATCAAGGGCCGTCAATATATTCCAACTTCTTAGAGACAATGCACTAGAAGGAGAATCAAGAGACAGTGGGCATTATAAAGAATAAACTCTAGACACATGATGAGATTGTCCATGCCCCATTATGGGCCCACATCTCTTCTATAGAGCAACTGGCTGAGGATCTCCATACTCTAACAAAGGAAGTAAGAGATGATCACCAAAAACTCAGAGAGGATTTTAAAGAAAGCATCTTTCATGTCTCACTGGTGCAAACTAGAGTCCCTACTATTAGGAGCAGGGGTCCCTTGGCTAGAGAGAGGGGGTACAACCCATGAGGCAACCTGTGGTTCTTCCTACTCGAACATGGGGAAGACATGAGGAGGTGGGATAGAAAACCCACCTCTGCTCTAGCAGCATGGGTACAGGAGCTAAAGGAAATTCATCAAAGATGGATGTAGCTCCAGTCTCCCATGGGCAAACTCCCAGGCAGAACAGAAGGAATGATGATGTGGACAATCCTCTGGAAGGGACCTCCAGGATGTATGCAGAGGGAGGAAGCCAAAACTACCAAAAACATCACTAGAGGGGCCGTTCCAGGTAACACCTGGTGTCCAACCAAGGTCAACCCACTACAGCCTTTTTGGAGCCTGAATGTGGGGCAAGATAAAGGCAGTTATGTATATATCTACATATATATATATTTCATGGTATTGTAATAGATATCAGGTAGCAAGCTCCTGCATAGGAAATGCAGTTTGCCAGTTGCACTGCTTATCTCTTTTTCTTGCTGAGTTTGGGAACATATAAATACAAACAATGGCCCTGTGCTTTGCCCTTACTGTGATGGCCTTGTTATGCTGGGGGAGCCATCTTCTGGGGACGATGGAGGAATACACCCTCTCATCCCTGCCCAAGATTGATATGAATGACTTTATAATGAAGTCTTCCATGGTCTTTTCTCATCGTTATGTAAGATGTTTAATGCTGTTAAAAATATTAACTAATAGTATTGACACACTATGGAGTTTGTGCCATCTGGTGTTATCGTGGTGTAAAAGAAAACAAACTTTACGTGATGATATATTGGGATGTGCCCTGAGGCGCCCAGTTCCTGGGTGGAAGGGTTGTATTAGAGATTGTTGATATTTTCTGGTCTGTGTTTGGCCCAACCACCTGCGAAAGTTTTGTTCTTTGCCTGCCAAGTTCACAGATAAACAGGAACCTTGTCCTTGGAGAGACAGTTTCTTGTATAAACTGTTTTATTGGTGTTCTGTAATTGGCTGATTGTCTGTAGAGGACATTTGAAGGAGAAACTGAAGAGGAGAAGATGAAGTAAAGCCCCGAGACCCAAATAGATAAGACCCCTTGAGTTAAACAGCGCATGCGTTAGGGGATTCATGCATGTGCTGGAAGGGTACACTTATATAACCAGGGGGACGGACTGAGAACCTCTGTCTGGGTGGTGCTGACCACACCAACCCAGGTAGACGTCACTGGCTAATTGGATAAAAAATGCAGGTGGCTCGTGCTCGGGGCTCTCAAACTTCACATGAAGGGCTACGTTGCCTTTTGCAGGGACAACCGCTATCTTGTGAGCCTGCTGACCCTTCGAGGATGCAGCCTCTGCTATGGGAAATTCTGGTTATCCTAGGGTCGGTAAGACAACCTTGTAAAACACACCTGCATGAGTAGTGGTTTCACTGAGGGCTTAGTTCACTCCTTTCTTGTCTCTCAGGTTCCTGTTTACTTGTCTGCTTTTTGTAATAAATATTTAGTTTATTGTTGAACTCTCAGCAGTGTCTTGGTTTTCAGTCTCGGCATCCTTTAGAACTCACCGTTACAAGGGTGTGTGGAAGAATTTGGGCAGGTTCCTAGGGACGTTAACACCTCCCATTACCTAGGACTTCACAGGTATTCAACCCTAGCAAACAGATGTGTCACCTGATGGAAAGGGACCTTGCCTACCACAATCATAACCAGAAGCTTCTTGCCCTGTACTGGGGCCTTGCCTGTGCCTATCGAGCAACAGTTCAGTGCTCTCAGAAGACTGTAGTGGAGGCAGGCACCAAAACTCCAATGGAAGACACTATGGTTGAGACAGGGACTCAAACCACAACAACCACAGTCATTGCCCCACTAGTGGAAAAAAAAAAGGATAAGGCAAGCTAAAGGTCCATGTCATTGATTAGTAAGGGAAAAACCAGAAGAAGAAGAAGAAGAAATAGAAGTAAAAGTAGAAAAAAAAGAACAAGAACAATAAGAAGAAGAAAAAGAAGAATAACAAGAATAAGAACAAGAAGAAAAATAAGAACAAAGAACAAGAAGAGAAAGAACAACAAGAAGAAAAACAGCAACAACAACAAGAACAAGAACATGAAGAAAAAGAAGAAAATAAAGAACAAAAAGAAGATCAAGAAGATAAAGAAGAAGAGGAAGAAGAACAACAAAAAGAAAAACAAGGAAAAAAAAGAACAAGAAGAAAAAGAAAAACAACAAGAAGAACAAAAAAAAAGAACAAAAAGAAGAACAAAAAGAAGAAGAAGAATAAGTTGAAGAAGGAATGGAACAAAAAACAGAGCAAGAGGAAAAACAGAAAAAAAAGAATAAGAAGAAAAAGAAGAAGAAGAACAGGAATAAAAAGAAAGAAGAAAAAGAACAAGAAAAAAAAGGAAAAGAAGAAAAAGAACAAGAAGAAAAAGAAAAAGAACAAGAAGAAAAAGAAAAAGAACAAGAAACAACAAAAAAAAGAAAAACAACAAAAAGAAGAAGAAACGAGAAGAATAACAAAAAGAAGAAAAAGAGTAAGAAGAACAAGAAGAAGAAAAAGAACATGAAGAAGAAAAACAAGAATAAGAAAAAAAGAAGAAAAAGAAGAACTAAAAGTGGAAGAACAAGAAGAACAAAAACAAGAAAAACAAGAAGAAGAACAAATAGAAGTACAAGAAGAAGAAGAACAAGAAAAAAGCAGAAGAAGTACAAGAAGAAGAACAAGGAGAACAAGAAAATCAAGAAGAGGAAGAAAAACGAGAAAAAGAAGAACAAGAAGAACAACAAGAACAAGAATATAAAAAAAAATAAGATGAACAAGAAGAAAAGGAACAAAAATAGGAACAAGAACAAAAAGAACAAGAACCACAAGATGAAGAAGAAAAACATGAAGAAGAGCAAGAAGAAAAAAAAGAACAAGGAAAAGAACACGAAGAAGAACAAGATAAAGAACAAGAAAAACAAAAAGAACAAGAACAACAAGTAAAAAAAGAACAAGAAAAAAGAAAAAGAAACAAGAAGAACAAGAATAAGAACCATAAGAACAACAAGAAGAAGAGGATTAAGAAGAACAAGAAAAAGAACAAGAACAGGAAGTAAAAGAAGAACAAGAAGAAGGACAAGAATAGGAACAAAAAGTAAAAGCAGAAGAACAAGAAGAAACAAGAAGAAGAAGAAGAAGAGGAAGAACAAGAAGAAGAAGGACAAGAAGAAGAACTAGAGGAACAACAAGAAAAACAAGAAGAAGAACAAGAAAAACAAGAAGAACAAGAAGAAGAAAAACAATAAGTATAAAAAGTAGAAGGAAAAAATAAGAACAAAAAGAAGAACAAGACCAAGAAAAACAACAAGAAGAGGAAGAACAAGAAGAAAAAGAAGAAAAGGAACAACAAGACCAACAAAAAAAAAGAACAATAATAGTAAAAAGAACAAGAAGAACAAGGAAACGAACAACAAGAACAAAAAGAATAAGAACAATAACAAGAAGAACAAGAAGAACAAGAAGAAAAAGAAGAAGAACAAGACCAACAAGAAGAACAAGCAGAAAAAGAACAACAATAATAATAATAATAAGAAGAAGAACAAGGAGAAGAAGAAAAAGAAGGACAAGAACAACAAGAATAGGAACAATAATAATAAGAAGAACAAGAACAATAACAAAAAGAACAAGAAAAAGGCAAAGAACAATACAAAGAACAAGAAGAAGGAGAAGAAAAAAAGGAAGAAACAAGACAAACAAGAAAAAGAACAAGAAGAAGAACAAGTAAAAGTACAAGAACAAAAGGAAGAAAATAATAAGAAGAAGATGAACAAGAACAAGAAGAAGAAAAACAAAAAGAAGAAAAAGAACAAGAAGAACAAGAATTAAAAGAAGAACAGCAAGAAGAAATGAGAAGAAGAACTAGACTAAAAGAATAAGAACATGACCATAAAGTAGAACAAGAACAAAAAGAACAAGAACAGAAAGAAGAAGAAGAACCAGAAGACGAAGAAAAAGAAGAACAAGAACAAGAATAACAAGAAGAAGACCAAGAACAAGACGAAGAACAACAATAGGGACAATAATAATAAGAACAAGAACAAGTACAACAAGAAGAACAACACGACCAACAAGAAGAAAAAGAAGATAAAGCAGAAAAGGAACAAGAAGAAGAATAAGAAGAAAAAGAAGAACAAAATAACAAGAAGAAGAAGAAGAAGTAGAAAAAGAAAACCAAGAAACAAGAAGTAGAAAAAAAGTATAAGAACATGAACAAGGCAAACAAGAAGAACAATAACAAATACAATAAAAAGAAAAGGAGGAAGAAGAAGAAGAAAAACACGAAGAACAAAAAAAAGAAAAACACAAAGAAGAAGAACAGGAAGAAGAAGAAGAAAACAAGAACAAGAAGAACAAGACAAAGAAGGACAAGAAGAAAAAGATGATGAAGAAGAAGATGAACAAGTAGAAGAACATGAACAAGAACAAAAAGAAGAAATAAAACAAAAAAGAACAAGATCAAGAAGAACAAGAAGAACAGGCACAAGAAAAAGAACAAGAAGAAGAAATAGAAGAAAAAGAAGAAAAAGAACAAGAAAAGGAAGAAAACAAGATGAAGAAATAGAAAAAGAACATGAAAGAGAAGAAGAAGAAATAGAAGAAAAAGAAAAAAATCAAGAAAAAGAACAACAACTAGAACAACAATAGGAAGATAAACAAGAAGGACAAGAAGATGGAGAAAAAGAACAAGAAGAAGAAAAAGAAGAAGAACACAAAGAAAAAGAAAAACAAGAAGAAGAACAAGAACAAGGAGGAAAAGAAAAAGAAGAACAAGAAGAAAAATAAGAACAAGGACAAGAAGAAGATTAGGAACAAGAAAATCAAAAGAACAACAAGAACAACAAAAAGAAAAGGAACAAGAAAAAGTTTAATACGAATAAGAACACGAAGAAAAAGGAAAGAAAAAGAAAAAGAAAAAGAAAAAAAGAAAAAAGAAAAAGAAAAAGAAAAGAAAAAAGAAAAAGAAAAAGAAAAAGAAAAAGAAAAAGAAAAAAAAGATAAAGAAAAAGAAAAAAAAGAAGAAAAAGAAGAAAAAGGAGAAGATAAACAAGAAGGACAAGATGACGAAGAAAAAGAAGCAGACCAACAAGAAAATCAACAGGAAAAAGAACATGAAGAAGAAGAAAAGCAAGAAGAAGAGGAAGAAGAACAAGAAGAAGAAAAACAAGAAGAGGAAGAAGTACAAGAACACAAAAAGGAAGATCAAGAACAAGAAGTGAAAGAAGAAGAAAAAGGAAAAAGAAACCAGAAAGAAGAACAAAAATAAGAAGAAGAGAAGAAGAAAAAAAACCAAGAACAACAAGAACAAGTTAAAGAAGAACAAGAAGAACAAGAAGAAGAACAAGAAGATCAAGAAGATAAAGAAAGAAGAACAAGAAGAAAAAGAAGAAAAGAAGATGAAAACATAAAAAGAAGAAGAAGAAGAGGAGCAAGAAGGACAAGAAGAAGAACAAAAACAAGGAGATGAACATCAAAAAAAAGAAGAACAAGAAGAAGGAAAAGAAGAACAAGAATAAGAACACGAAGAAGAAAAAGAAGAAAGACAAGAAAAGGAGGAATAAAAAGAACAAAAAGAATAATAAGAATAGGAAGAAGAAGAACAATAGGAGAAAATAAACAAGAAGAAAAAAAGGACAACAATAAGAACAAAACGAAAAAGAACAAGAAGAAGGAAAAGAACAAGAACAACAAGAAGAAAAACAAGAAGAACAAGAAGATGAGTCAGAAGAAGCACAAGAACAAGAAGAAGAACAAGAACAAAAACAAAAAGAACAAGAACAAAACAAAAGGAACAAGAAGATCAAGAAGAAGAGGAAGAACAAGAGAAGGAAAAAACTCAAGAAGATCAAGAAGAAGAAGATGCAGAACAACAAGAAGAACAAGAAGAACAAGAAGAAGAAAAAAAAACAGGAACAAGAAGAACAAGACAAACAAGAACAAGAAAAAAAACAAGAAACTCAAGAAGAAGAACAAGAAGAACCAGAAAAAGCAGAGCAAGAGGAAGAACAAGAAGAAGAAGAAGATGAAGAACAAGAAGAAGACTAGGAAGATGAACAAGAAGAAAAAGTACAAGAAAAACATAAAGAAGAAGATCAAGAAGAAGAAGAAGAAAAGAAAAAGCACAAAAAGAACAAAAATAATAAGAAAAAATAACAAGAACATCAGGAGGATGAAGAAAAAGAAGAACAAGAAAAAGAAGAAAAGAAGAAAGAATAACAAGAAGAAGAACAAGAAGTAGAAGAACAAGAAGATCAAGAGGAGGAACAAGGAGAAAAACAAAAACATAAAGAAGATAAACAAGAAGGACAAGAAGACAAAGAAGAAGAACAAAACAAAAAACAATAAGAACAAGAAGCACAAGAAGAAGACCAAGAAGAAGAGGAAGAAGAGAAAGAAGGAGAACAAGAAAAAGGAGAAGAAGAACAAGAAGTATAAGAGGAACAAGAAGAACACGAAGAAGAACAAGAAGAAGAGGAAAAATAAGAAGCACAAGAAGAAAAAAAACAAGAACAAGACAAACAAGAAAAAGAAGAAGAACAAGAAGAAGAGGAACAAGAAGAAAAAGAAGAAAAAGATCAAGAAGAACAAGAAAAAGTGAAAGAAAAAGAAGAAGAAGAAAAAGGAAAATGTCATGGTTTTGCTGGTTCTTAGAAACTAAGTAGGAATTTTTTCCGTTCCCTCTGCCCCCTTTGTGGAGGGATGTTAAATGGGCAGTTAAGGAGCACAGAAGAAGCTGCCTTTTAGTTAATGGCCCTCCGAATCTCATCAAGATCAGAGTGGAAACTCTGCGGGCTTTTGTTCTCAGCCTGGTTGCCAACTGTGGATTCTGCTTGGATTTTTGACAGGGAGGAACTGTTTCGGGAGGTTCTTTTTCCCCTTCCCCGTTCCCCTTTGTTTCTTCCTTAGCAGCGGATCTTGTGCACATCAAAGGAAAACTAGACTGCATGATTCGACCAGCAGAAAGAGTGAGTTTTTTCCAATTGGGGAGGACTTTTTTCGGTTGTTCCTTTCCCTCCTCTCTCTCCCCTTTCCCAGTGTTGGGGGAGGGGGGGAACCCATTTTCGGTTTCTCCAACACACCCCAGAGAGAATCACCCACCAGTGATTCAACAGCGCCCCCTGCTGACCAGCATAAAGAACTGCAGGCTCTGCATTTCCAGTGATTCAACAGCGCCCCCTGGTGACTGGCACAGGACACTACAAGCTCTGCATCTCTGGTGATCCAACAATGCCCCCGTTGACTGTGGTTAGAATAGCACCAAAGGACACAAACTGAACTGTTTACTTTTTTTCTTTGCTTGTTCATTGGTTTGTTTTGAAGGGGATTATTTGTTGGTATAGGAGTATTGTTTGGTTGTTTTACTTGTTTTCTTCCATTGTTTCTACCAATACACATATATCTTTAAATAAAGGGCTGTTATTTTCCCTTTTTCCACAATTTTTTTTTTCTCCTCGATCAGAGTCTCTTAATTTCTGATTTACAATTGCTTAGAGGGAGAAGTTTGGGTCTTCCTCATAACTCATCCTCAACAAAACACCCGTGTCTCATTTTAAAGTGAGACAGAAAAAACCCAAAAGGAACAAGATGAAGAACAAGAAGATCAAGTAGATCAAGAAAAAGAAGAGCAAGAAGAACAACAGCAAGAAAAGAAGAAAAAATAACAAGAACAACAACAAGAAGAAAAAGTTAAAGAAGTTAGAGAAGAATAAATAACAAGAACAAGAAGAACTACAACAAGAAGAATAAGAAGAACAAGAAGATCAAGAAGACAAATAAAAAAGAAGAAAAAGAAGAATAAAAAGAAGAAAAAAAACAAGAAGAAAAGGAGAAGAAAAAATAAAAATAAGAAGAATAACATGAACAAGAAGGACAAGAAGAAGGACAAAAGTAACAAGACAAACATCAAGAAAAAGAAGAACAAGAAGAAAAAAAAAAGAAGAAGACGAAAAAGAACAAGAAAAAGAACATGAATAAAAAGAACAACAGGAAGAAGAAAAAGAAAGACAAGAAAAATTAGAATAAAAAGAACAAGAAGAACAAAAAGAAAAGGAAGAAGAGGAAGAAGAACAATAGAAGAAAAAGAACATGAAGGAAAAAAGGAAAGAATAAAACAAAAAAGAATAATAAGAAAAAGAAAAATAACAAGAAGAAGAACAAGAAGAAGAACAAGAAGAAGAGGAGCAAGAAGAAGAAGCACAAGAAAAAGAAGAAGAACAAAACCAAAAAGAACAAAACAAAAAGAAGAAGAACACCAAGAAGAGAAAGAAGAAGAACAAGAAAAGGAAAAAACCTAAGAAGATCAAGAAGAAGAAGAAGAACAACAACAAGAAAAAGCACAAGAAGAAGAAAAAGAACAAGAAGAAGAAGAAGAACGAGAAGAAGAAAAAGAACAAGAACAGGAACAAGAAATACAAGACAAACAAGAACAAGGAAAAAAAAAAACCAAGAAGATCAAGAAGAAGAAGAAAATCAAGACAAGAAGAACAAGAACAAGAAGGTCAAGAAGAACAAGAAAAACAGGAACAAGAAGAACAAGAAAAACAAGAACAAGAAAGAAACCAAGAAGATCAAGAAGAAGAAAATCAAGACAAGAACAAAAACAAGAAAGAGAACAAGAAGGTCAAGAAGAAGAACATAAAGAAAAACAAGAAGAAGAAGATCAAGAAGGCGAAGAAAAAGAAGACCAAGAAGAAAAACAGGAACAAGAAGAAAAGAAGAAGAAAAAAATAACAAGAAGAAGAACAAAAACAAGAACAACAACAAGAAGAACAAGAAGTAGATCAGGAAGATGAAGAAAAAGAACAAGAAAAAGAATAAAAAGAAGAAAGACAAGAAGAATGAGAACAAGAAAGAACAAGAAGAAGAAGGACAACAAGAAGAAAAAGAACAAAAAGAAAAAATAGAATAAGAACAAGAAGAAGTAAAAGAACAAGAAGAAAAAGTAAAACAAGAAGAAGAAGAGGAACAAGAAGAAGAAGCACAAGAACAAGAAGTAGAAGAACAAGAACAAAAAGAAGAAGATCAAGAACAAGAAGGATAAGAGGGAAAAAAAGAAGAAGAAGAACAAGAACAGGAAAAAACACAAGAAGATCAAGAAGAAGAAAATTAAGAACAAAAAGAAGAACAAGAAGAAAAACAAAAAGAAGAACAAGAAGAAGAAGAGGAAGAAGAACAGGGACAAGAAAAAACACAAGAAGACCAAGAAGAAGAAGAAAATCAAGAAAACAAGAACAAGAAAGAGAACAAGAAGATCAAGTAGAAGAACAAGAAGAACAAGATCAAGCAGAACAAGAAGATCAAGACAATGAATAAAAACAAGAACGAGAACATCATGAAGAAGTACAAGAACAAGAAGAACAAAAAGAAAAACAGCAAGAAGAAAAAGAAAAAGAAGAAGAAGAAAAAGAAGAACAGGAAGAAGAAGAAGAAGAAGAAAAAGAAGAACAGGAAGAAGAAGAAGAAGAAGAAAGACAAGAAGAAGAAGAACAAAAAGAACAAGAAGAACAAGAAGAAAACAAAATAACAAGAAGACCAAAATGAATAATAAGAAGAAAAAGAACAAGAAGAATAAGAAGAAAAAGAAGAAGAACAAGAAGAAGAGGAAGAAGAAGAAGCACAAGAACAAGAAGAAGAACAACAAAAAAAGAACAAAATGAACAAGAAGAAGATCAAGAAGAACAAGAAGAACAAGAAGAACAAGAACAGGAAAAAACCCAAGAAGATCAAGAAGAAGAGGAAGAAGAAGAAGATGAACAAGAAGAAGAAAAGGAACAAGAAGAAGAACAGGAACATGAACAAAAACAAGAACAAGAAGAAGAAGAACAAGAACAAGAAGAAGAACAAGACTAACAAGAGGAAGAAGAACAAGAATAAGAAGAACAAAAACTAGAACAGGAACAAAAGAAGAAGACGAACGAGAAGAATAACAAGAAGACGAACGAGAAGAATAACAAGAAGACGAACAAGAAGAACAAGAACAAGGAGAAGAAAAACAAGAAGATCAAGAAGAACAAGAATGAACAAGCAGAAGACTCAACCCTTCTATTCTGCTTGGGAAACCATCCCCTGAAGACTGGAGCAGCAACTTTACTGGAAAAAAACCATTTGTGATTGTTTTTCCTTGCAATTCACATATCTGTGCCTCTAGGATCAAGGTAGATTTTCCATCCTACTTCCTCGTGTCCTCTTTGTTGTCCTGCTGGTAAAACCACAGGGTACCTCATGGTGTGTACCCTCTATATCCTCAGTCTTGAGCAAAAGAACACTTACTATTAATAGTTGAAATACTGGTCCACAAAGGTGGGGAGTAGGACCTATCCTTGTCCTTCTTTACAAGACTTGTGTACTCTTTGCTGGGTTAAAAACTGACTGGAAAGTCATGATGAGAGATTGATGGTGAATGGAGTTACATCCAGTTGGCAGCCAGTCACCAGTGGTGTCCCCGAGGGCTCAGTGTTGGGGCCAGGTCTATTTAATATGTTTAACGACGATCTGGTGGAAGGGATCAAGTGTAACCTCTGCAAGTTTTCAGTGGAGGTTTCAATTGGATATTAGGGAAAATTAGGAAA